CCCCTGCCTCCCGATTATTTATCGCCATCCCACTCTTCTTCGTTGGTTCGCAGCGGGGGTCGTGCGTTCAGACGGTTCTTTTCCCTCCCTAAAGGGCCAGCGACAGCCCCCACCGCAGCGTCTGCGTTTCGCAGGGTGGACACAGCCCTGGGCTGCTCCTACGTGGGGGAAGAAGCGAGAGGCCTGCTGCGTGCCGCTGGCGAGGCGTCCTCCGAGCATCCCGCCGCCCTCGTGCTGCGGGGCGTCAGCGTCAGCGATGACCGGAACTTGGGTGAGGTGACTGAGTACAAAGTCCCGCAGGAAAAGCCTGACCCCTCTGCTCCCATCGTCTTTGAAGCCTCAGGTGAGTGAGAGAGCAGCAGCTTGGGTTTTGGCCACTCACCCGCACCGGGCTTCTGCAAGATTTTTCTTTAACTGAGTTTAGACAATTAATTTTTGTATGGCCACTAAAGCTATACACATGATTCCCTGAATTCCACAGTTTGGACTTTAAGAAAGGAAGTTTGTGGGAAATGTTAGAAAGCCCTATTGAGGCATCTCCTTCCTACTGGGTCTATCCTAGATTGCCTGTCTCTTGGGAAACACTTTGTCAAAAACAGGAATTCACAGAATTGCAGAATCACAGAATGGTCAGGGTTGGAAGGGACCTCTGGGCATCATCTGGTCCAACCCCCCTGCCAAAGCAGGATCAGCTAGAGCAGGCTGCACCGGACCTCGTCCAGGGGGGCTCTTAAAATTCACCAGAGCAGGGAAAGATATCTCCAGAGAAGGAGAATCCACCATCTCCCTGGGCAGCCTGTTCCAGTGCTCTGTCACCCTCAGAGGGAAGAAGTTCTTCCTCATGTTCAGATGGAACTTCCTATGCTTCGGTTTGTGCCTGTTGCCCCTTGTCCTGTTGCTGGGCACCACTGAACAGAATCTGGCCCCATCCTCCTGACACCCACCCTTAAGATATTTGTAAGTATATATTAGGTCCCCTCTCAGCCTTCTCTTCTTCAGGCTAAACAAGCCCAGCTCCCTCAGCCTTTCCTCGTAGAAGAGATGCTCCAGTCCCCTCCTCATCTTCGTAGCTGTCCACTGGCCTCTCTCCAGTAGTTCCTCATCTTTCTTGAACTGGGGAGCCGAGAACTGGACATAGTACTCCAGATGGGGCCTCACTAGGGCAGAGTAGGAGAGGGGGAGGACAACCTCTCTCGACCTGCTGGCCGCACTCTTCTTAATGCACCTCAGGATACCTTTGGCCTTCTTGGCAACAAGGGTGTGCTGCTGGCTCATGGTTATCCTGAGTATTCCACTACACAGAATTATTGCACCCATAAAGAGTGTTCCTATCTTCAGTCATGCGAGTGTTCTGTGCTAGCAGGAAGCATGGTGGTAAGTGGGCATGAAGGAGAGCTGTCCTGCTCAGAAGGCCATAAAGGCCTTAAGGACCCTAACCTAACCAGTGAAGAAGGTTCTTACTTCACTCGTGGGTGCCAACCTGCGGTCCAGCCTCTGTAGCCCTTGCATTGCGCATAACTTTGCAAATGGAGTGAAGCAAAGGTCTGAGCGTGTACTTCGCTGTGGTCTTGTCCGCTGCCTACAGTGCTTATCTTCAGGCGTGTGCTTCAGTACAAGCCTGTTTGAGGCCCTGAGACATGTTCAGAGGGGAACCTGGAGGCACAGCAGGATCCGTTAGCCTGGGTCCAAGCTCTCCTTCGAGTGGTGTGGCTGGACTGGGCATAGGTGAGTTGAAGCACACTACAGCCAGGCTACTGTCAGGCATTGCAGACACAGAGTTAGTTTCCAGTGACGTCCATGGAAAGCATGCAGGTCACTAGGGATGCTTACACCTACGCTTAAGCCCGTGCTGTGATCAGAGGCACAGGTGCAGTGTGTCTCTGCAGTCAGCCACTCCTGCCACCCTTTCTTTCCTTACCTGGGATGCTTCAATGTCCCCTTTGTTTCTGGATTCAGGCCTAAACCAAATAAACATTGTGGGTCTTTACTGGGCATTTCACATACACAGCTTGCTTTCTTGAGCTAGCTAAATGGAATCTGTTCCTTTTATTCTCCTTTCCTAACACCTTCCTTTGCCCAGAGTGAACTCTGTGTGATCAGGCAGGATAAAATACAACCAACAGACTGAGGGATGTAAGACTGTCATGACAAACCTCTCATATTCTTTGCAGGCCTTCATCTGTTACGCCTAGCCTTGCATTTCTGGGCTCTGACTGACCCCTGCAGTGCATGATGCTTCTCCAAAATAACGTGTCTCATCAGCTTGCGCTTTCTTTCCCCTTTTGGATTCAGGCAGTCAGACCTCTTCCTCTGTCCCCACAGCACCGTCGGTATCCATCCCACATGCAGAGTCCCTGCTGCACGCCGAGTGTGATGGGGAGGAGCTGACCTGTGAGATCTCCCCGTACAGCTCCCAGCGGGCTGGTGACGGGCTGTGCCATACCTCCTGGTTCATGTCCACCCTGCGGCTCTCCGGCGGGATCAGTATCGCCCTCGTGCTCAGAGGACCCCACTGTGGCGGCTGGGAGGAGGAGGAGGAGCACGATGCAACACTGCACCCAAAGCTGAGGCTTCCTATGAGCAAGGAGGGGACGTTGCTGACCACAGGTGACCAGGTGGCCTGGGGTGCCCCCACAGCACTGGGGGACACAAGGGGAGGGGAGCCTGTGTCCCTGAGACCCCCACGCCCCACCTCGCTCCAGGACCTGAGGGCTGCCGGGAGTTGGAGCTTAAGGAAAAGAGGGTCACACAGATTGCCCCCGACCCTGTCTGCTCTCAGGGTTTCCCATGCCCCAGCCCCTGAGGATGATAAGCACCTTCAAGACCGTGACATGCACTTGGTGTCCACCAGTCTCCCTGCCCCACTAACACCACCAGGCTGGCTTCTTCCAGCTCTGCAGTCCACATGGCCCCTGGGGCAACACATAGGATGCCTGTGCCTCCTCCTCCTCCTCCTCCTCCTCCTGGTGGGGAGCCCAGTGCCAGCCCGTCCCGCCCAAGGGTGCCTTCTTTAACCACATCTGTTTAACTCTTTGCTTTGCCTGTGTTTCTGTTTCTAGTTGAATTTCAGTTGTCATCACGCAACACTTCTCTGCGCATGCATCTTGGTGGCTCGGTCACCCTCGACTGCCGCTTTGCCTTGGCTCCCAGCTCCTTGTTCTCCTCCCTGGAGTGGAGGAGGCAGCACCGAGGCAGTGGCCAGAGCCTATTCCGGTACCAGGTGGGGAGCACAGGCCCAGCATCGCAGCCAAAAGTCCATGTGGATGTGGCAGAGCTACTGGGGAGTGGAGACGCGTCACTTACCCTGCAAGGAGTGAGTGTGGAGGACGAAGGGAGCTACATCTGTTTGGTGTCCACCCCGCTGCACCAGGCCCAGCACATCATCCAGCTGCACGTGGCCGGTGAGGAAGGGAAATGCCTGATGGCAACAGCAGTCCCATCTCCCAGGCACTGAAACTTTGCCCTGCACCCTTACCCCATTGCTCCCAACACGCATTGACACAGTCAGCTCATCTTCTCTCCCTTGTGGATGGGGGCTTTTGTACTCTGCTGACAATAAGTCAATTCCCTGTTTATCTCCTCCAGCACCTCCAAGAGTTCGTATCATTCCAGCAGTGGTGTCATTTGAGAGAGACGTGACAACTACTCTGGCCTGCAACATTGCTGGCTATTACCCCCTGGACGTCTTGGTGAGCTGGACACAGAAGACTCCTGAAGATGATACGGAAATCCCTCTCTCAGATGCACATTTCTCCAGCCACCGGCAAAGCCAAGATGGCACCTACAGCATCACCTCCTACATCAGCATCAGCTCAGCCACAGCACGGGCACCAGCCACCTACAGCTGCCATGTCTCACACGTGGCCCTGGCAGAGCCCATCTCTGTGAGCACCCATCTTAAGGCACCAGGTAGGTGTCACGGGCAGAGGGGCGAGTTCTTCATCCTGCCCAGACCTCCTCCCACCTCATCAACCCATCGGAGGGATCAAAACCCCTGAGTCACATCACATCTGCCTGTTTCTCCATGCTTTCCTTCCGGTGTAATCTCATACCGATCCTCTCTATCCTCTTCCCTTTCCTTTTCACTTCCTCATCTTTTATTTCACTCCCTGAAGATTTTGGGACACAACTATCTCATTTCCTTCAGGGGAAAAGAGATTTTATGACCGAAAGTAGAGCAACAGATCAAAAATTGGTAGCGCGTGGGCTGGACCCTCATGGACAGGCACAAGAAAAGAGCCATGTCCCAAGGAGCCATGTCCAGCTGGACTTGATCTTCAGCTGAGGACCGATGCTGCTCAAGAGCTATAGTAAAAAATCCTTGCTCCCATTGGAGCTGTTGGGGTTCTCATTCTCCCTGCTGACGGGAGATTGCTCCTGTTTCTCCTCCTGACCCAGCAGGGAAAAGCAAGCAATATTGCAGTTTAACAAGTTAGGACACATCAGTCCAGCCAGAGTAACTGGCCCTGCGTTTGTGTGGCTTTATCTCACGTGTGTTGTGTCACATCTGTGTACCTGACAAGAGCATGCAGATGGTCAGTAGCTGGGGAAGCTCATTTAACTGTGACAACTCGCTGGCTCTTCAGCTGCTCCAGCTAACCTAACGCCACTGATCCTCCTCTTCCTCTGCAGAGCAAATGGGATCGGAAGGACTGGTGGGGAGTTTCATTGCTACCATCATCTTCATCGTTGTCCTCTTCATTGTGCTCAGGAGAAGAGCAGGTAGGAGTTTAAAATGCTGAGCCACTTCCCTCGTGGGCGAGAAGGAGCAAGGAGTGTCCTTCTCTCCCCTGCATCCCCGCTCAGGAGAGGTGGAGGTCGGGATATCCCAGGATCCTGGAGGGAGAGGTGGGGAGCGGATGAGCTGGAGACTCATTTCTGATGGAAGGCAGCATGATGTGATGTTTTACACCATTTTGGTCTTCCTGCATCTTGCTTCTTTTTATTTTCTCTCTCCTTTTCAGCTAGACCAAAGCCTGAGCAACTTCTAAGCACTTCGGAATAGAGGAAACCCTTGTGTCACCCACCTGCATTCCCTTGTCTCCTGTTCCTTGACACATCCTGCTCAGGAGAGCCAGCCCTGTCCAGATATTAACGGAGCTGTTGGTCGGTACGGAAGGGGTGGGGCTGCCCTTGGTGGCAGAGCTGAGCAGCCGTTCAGAGGTGGGCTCACACTAAAACACGTCTTCATCTTGGGAGAGCAGCATCAATAGCCACAGCTCTTTGCTGCGATGCTGCATTACAGGCAACAATGCAGACATTTTTAGAAGCACCTTTTCTCCAGTTTCAGGGAAAATTAAATTGTATATAGGTGACTGACTGTGCATGTGCATGTGTATATACAGATACATGTGTGTATGTGTACACGTTGTAAGTAGATACACAGCATTTACACGTGTATGTATCTAGCTGTATATAGGTGCATTTGGTTAATGCCTATGAGGCAGATGTTTAAGTAAGATATTTATGTATGTATGTGTTTCAACTGTGAAGTTGGGCAAATATGTAGATAAAATTGACACTCCAAAATGGTAAATCCTCAAAGAGAGGAAGTTATGGGTTAAACTGACCACAAATCAAGCAATCAGAAAAATGTGACTCTCCAGGAGAAAACTACAAAAAAATTTTTCATAGAAATTTCACTGCTCAACATTTACAAGGTGGAAATGATCTGTGGTTCTGTAGTCGTGAAAAAGAGACATGATTAAAAGCCTTTTCTGCCTAACATGGAATTTGAAGGTAACACTTAGAACTCTTGTATATAACCAACAGGGGAAAAAGGTAGAATGAAGGCGTGTATGGAAAGGAGGTATATGGCACACAATAAAAGTGGGAATTTATGAAGCATACAGAGCGATAAGGAGTGTTCAAAATAATCTGGAAAAACTGGATTGCTGCACGTGCTAACGGCACTTGGAAGGAGTTTTTTTTCAAAATATGTTGGAAACCAAGAAATGCTAGCAATGGCCTAGGCTTTTACCAGGTGGATATAGGTGAAACTGTTGATAGAAAAGATTTTGATGGAAGCTTTTTAATAAAGAGAAGGTAGTTTTTTGTATACAGAAAGGAACAGAAATGGGTATTCGGACTACGTGAGGATGGTAAACAACTTCCTAATTTATCTGCGGACAAAGGAAGTGTTTTAACAGCATCCGTTAAGCATAAGTATTTTCAGATCAGTAGCCAAGATAATTTTCATGTCAGAATCACAAAAGATTTGGCTGACAAGGCACCTGGTGGAGTTAGGTGTTTAAAAATCCTAGCAAAAAGTCCCAAGACCTTGGAAAAGCACATTGTGTCAGTGTTCACAGAGAGAAAGCAAGATGACACCAACGACTGTTAGATGGTTCCACTGTAATAATTGCAGGTAAGAGAGTGTGAAGTTATTACAAGTAAAAGGCTTCAACATGAAAATAACATTAATAATTTAGTATGTTTTAAAAAAAAGTTGTGAGAAACAAACCTGTCTTGATTCTTTGACGGAATAATACATTTTGAGAAAAGTACTGCTGCAGATTTAACAAACCAAGAAATCTGTAAATTCTGAAGAAACAATAATGGTGTATGTGTACACCATAATTTGCATTATATGGATTAATTACTAGCTAACAGACAAATGGCAAAAATTCATTGTCCAAAATGAAGCAGCAATTGCTGTTGAAAGCATGTGCCTCTCTGCAAGAACCATGCTGTTTAATGTTTGCATCGAGAGATCTACACATGTCACCTGGCCAGCTGAACATACCCAAACCAGACAAGATGCTCAGCAACGGTAGTGGAGTCTCCTCAGGTACTGGACTACCACGCTGTCTCAATGCCATTCACCCATGAACCTCATCAGTTGCCTGACCTGTGGGAACGTGTAAGAGTGACCATGGGCAGAATGCAAGTGCTGGTGGAAGCAGTTTTTGCTTGTGTCATTTCCTCTTCATTTTTTATGCGTTACCAATAACCAAGTATTTTTAGTTCCAACGGTTGTTTTCTGTCTGTGCATCTCCCATGCCACCCTGTGAAGTGAAGCCACTGTGTGGCTCTAGGGCCAGTGAGCAGAGGGGCTGAGCCCCACGCAGAGGGGGAAACCACCTGGGACTCGGGAAGGGGAGCTCCAAGGGACCCGTGGTGTCAATGCTGGTCCCCTCAATGCTCCCAGAGGCTGCTACACTGGAGCAGGACTCACAGAAGCTTTTTGTCCTGCCTGCTACATTCAGAGACACCCCCAGATAATGGGTGGGTATGTGGCTGCTGGCTCCTGTGCAGCCAGGGAGGGAGGACAAGTTGCCAAGGGCAGGAACCTCGCTGGCAACCACTGGAGAAGTTGCTGTCACCCGTGACTGACAACGTCAAGTTGGAAGCCCAGCAAAGCCTGGAGCTGCAACACCTGTCAGCAGTGCAGGCGCCCACATGGTTTTTTAGTATGTTGAAAGCTTGGAGGTGGTCCAGAGCAAAATGACAGGACCAGTTGGGAAGGTCAGAAAACACCTTATAGGCGGCACTTTGAGGCGTTACTCTGGTCTTACTAAATCAGTATCTCTCAATTACACCACAGCAAATACAGAGTACTGGTTGCACCGTAACTTGCAGAGAAAGACACAGTGAGAATCAACAGCTGCAAGTTATATTTAGGCATGTTCTGAGTAGAAGAAGGCATTATATACTCAATGATGAGGATGATTGTCCTAGCCATCTGTCAATAAAAATGGCAGACTATCTTTCAAGGCCTTAAAATAAATGCCACGTTACTTTTTTCAAGCTGTTCTTTAATAATAATTATAAAAAAAAAGTTAATGGCATCAGTTAAAAGACACTGGGGAAAATTCCGAGGCCTTTGATACCCATGAAGTGTGAGCTGGTGGCTTGTCTGCCTTTTTGGCCCATAAACTGACATAAAGGAAATTAAAAAATAAGGGAGAGATACAAGAAATGCATTAGGAGAGGCTGTATTCCTCATGAGGAGAAATATACTATGGCACTTGATTTTATTTGACTACCTATCCTCTGGTGCTCCCCACTAGAGTTGCTGTGGGGAGTCCACAGTTACTGTGTCCCCGAAGGTCTTCTGCTCAATTTAAGCCACAAAAACAAGTAAAGCATATAACCTAAAGCAGAAAAAGTAATACTTACTGATAAACAAAGTGATGCTGTGTTTAACAACAATGTTCCCCGTATTTTAAATATAAAACACTTCTTACAGAAAATACCACTAAGAGACTGAAAGTTGAACAAAGATAAACTCGACTGCATTATAAAGACACATACAAATAATGTTATGCATGCTGTGTCTCTAGGAGAGAGCCACACTGCCTTCCAAGGTCGAATGTGCCATGGCCAAGTGCCATATGGCATCAACGCCTGGCCGCGTGAATTGAGAAGCAGGAATCTGGTTATCATCTGATGAGCTGCTAGTTACACCAAGCCGTTATTAGGTATACTGTGTCTCTACAAATGAATGCTAAATGTAGGTGTTTTAAACAAGTTCTTTAGAAGAATTATTTGATATATGACATGAAATTTGATATGGATTCTGTCAATCTGCAAAACATAAGATGAAGTTATTTGCACAAGATTACTTAGGGGCTGTGGCTGCACGGTATTGTGAATATGGACAAGCCAAAACTTCTAATGTGGTATTGAAAGAGCAGTCATTGCAAACAACAAAGCCAGGCTCAAGATTATCTTTCCCACATAGGTTCCTCTTGTTTGATTATGCCTTTGCTCACTCAGTTTAAGCTAGCAAAATAGACCCAGCAGCCTACCAACATTGGTTTAGATGCACTTTATGAACATAGCTGAAGTTCAGGTGGTATGTGCCTCAGAGAGAGCATGTGTTAACTAGAAGAGACAGTGAAGCACCTAATGCACTTCAAGGCTAAAACCTCTCTCCTGTGGCCCACCAGGCAATGATGGGCAGCAACTCATTCAATCCTAGCATGCAACAGGAAACCGATTTCCACACCAACCGTAGAAATTATACCAAACTTTCCCACATCTCCCTCATCTTGATCAATGAACTGCAAGGAACCACTGCAACCTGCTTGGTAGGGGTGGGCCAGAACAAAGCATCAGGGCCAGCATTCACACTCTCCTACTGTGCATCTCTTCCAGACCACAAGCTTGAAGCAGCAAGCTCCGTTGCGAGAGCTTGGCTTCCCAGTCCTCCATTAGATCGGCACAGTGAGCAGCAGTGGGTTCACACAAGTACACAGTAAGATGACTCCCTCCCACATGGCTGCAGCTTCTTGAAAGCCCACGGACACCAGGTAGTTCTCAATAGCTGGATACCTCTTTTCATAGAGAAGGTCATCTCACAGCTATACAATGGCCGCTGCTTCTCCCTAGCACTGCCTGCAGAAACACTGTCCCTGGGCTTCTCTCTGTGAAAAGTAGGAAATGCTGAGCAAAGACATGTCTGCACTAGCACTGCTCTTCTTAGTAACAGCAATCTTCTGCATTGATCACTTCCTCTGGCCTATCCTTCATCTGGACTTCACAGACAGGAGCAATGATAAGCTACAATGGGTAGTGAATCTCCTGTAATATTCCGCACTCTCCTCCTGTCAAAAAAAAAAAAAAAGAAAGAAAAAAAAGGAAAAGGGAAAAAGAATGGGCTTTTCTTTTTCCAAAGCCTCAAACTCTCTTGCAACCGCCCCCTAACTTATGTCCCACACAAAATCATGGGGCACATGCTTCCCTCCACAACATATGTGTCATGCTAAATCAGTCTAGCTCTACCCACTGCAAAAACATGCTTCTCCTCCCAGGTCAGCTGAAAATTCAGCTTCTCCCAGCACACAGAATGGTGGGTTCCCATGCATCTCCCTCAATGAATGATGAGCAGATGCTGAAAAATGGCAGATGCCCCCTCAGGATCAAAAATTAGCTGAGAAGCTCAAAAAGCACATCTGGAGTGGAGAGGGCTGATTTCAGCCTCTAGGACCAGATGTAGTTGCCAGCAGTTCCTGGTGAGTAGAGACAGCGGAGGACCGAGGACCTTCCCCACCCGTGTCC